TGGAGATGAAGGTTCTAATTGTAAATTGGTATAAAAGTAAGAACAGTTTTAGAAGAGTTCGGGACTTATTGTCAATATGTTTTGAATAGATCAAATTAGTAAAATATGCACATAACCTACAAATAATTGAAGGTTGGTTCACGTTATAATAGTAGGTCGAATAAACACAATTTGTTGACATTACAACTATGTTCCGGGAAAAATACACTGTAAATAACAAATAACATCATCCCAACGTGACGTGTGCTACCTACACAGAAAAACAGGATACGAAGGTTCGCACACGATTTTCAGTAGGGGAATTAATTACCACTCAGCTCGTATTCGGAAACCAGACTTTTAATCCTGCATATTCAATAGCACTGATCCTTGATCTCGTAGAAATAGATTGGCGAAGGTTTGACATCGCTATCTCTTTTCGTTCTCGAGTTAGACGAGAAACAGATGGACAGACAGACAAAACCATTACATAAGGGGAATTTTTTCTTTCGAAAAATTGTCCTAAAAAGGTTAGAACGTGCAATGGATTGTCTAGTTGTAAAATACACCTACCAATGTATTGTGAGCTTTAATTAATATAATAATCCATTAAAAATTAGACAAGTCCAGCGTGGTTATTGAAACTCCAAATCCATTTTAATAGAGAATATGCTGTACGTTGATCAACTCAAATCATAGGCCTTTAGGGAGAACAAATTCGACGCTAATAAACCTCATATAATATCTGAGCAAAATTAGTACCGGCACTAAAATGCATCCGGTGGACCGATTAGAACTGTATGAGAGGGTATTTTTATTTTATAGGTAAACATGTAGGTATTATATGGTAAGCTAGATTGTTAATTGACAGTATAATAAGCAATGGACCTCAGGGTGTCATGTTTCAATAAAAATGAGGTTACTGATGTTTATACCGACTTAACGAGGGACTAGGGCTTGTCGTAAAATATCCACAAATTTGCCGCTATATTGTCGTTACGAAACGACCCATTTTAGTGGATAGAATAGAGCAAGTGGTTGCCGAACGATAATCGCTGTGTAACGACATCGTTACGCGTTATAGAATAGGCCCCTAAGTACCTATATTGCATACAAAATCGTTTAATAAGTATTAACTGCGTGTTCCGTAGTGTCAAAAAAATTTACCGTCCGCCACTGACCCAGGCGGTTTTGAATGAGCTGGGCGCGTATTTTGAATGTTTAGTTGTGGTTATAATAAGCTTCCTCGAGGCTCTCACCAATACGTAACATACTTGGTGACTAAAATCATAAAAAATTCAAAGTAGAACAAGAACGGCATTGTAATACGAATTAATACGAGGAACAAATTTCTGAATTTTAAATTAGCGTAGTGCCCTAATTTTACTACTAACTTTCTAATGTATCCGGACATAAGACATACAATCGCCTAGCCATTAATAGTTCCAGTCGTCCATAAAAGGTACACAGGTGAATGCATTAATGTAATCGTTACACGTTGTGTGTCATTCTTGGCATACCTTTAATATTCCGTAATAATGCCTCCAGTGAAATGCAAATTATTAATAAGCAGGTAGCGTGACATAAGTGTACAAATGTAAATTTGACAAAGTGTGAAAAATATTAGTCCATTAACTAATGTATTATAGATAATAAAATTTTTACAGTGTATTAAAATATTAATAATTATAAGTAGTTAACCTAAAAATGGCTGGCAACATAATTGAAATTTGGCTGGACAAAATTTTAAAAGGGCGCGCTTTGGAGGATGAACAGTCAACTATATGTGACTTCTCGATCGATGAACAAATTACTGCATTGGAATCACAGGGGATAGCGCCAAATGTGGCACAAATCTCTCAACCTGTCTTAGGAGAAACAGTTACATACATTGTCGCTGCTGTTCTACTAAATGAGAAAAATGAGGTATTAATGATGCAGGAAGCAAAACAGTCATGTGCAGGAAAATGGTGAGGATGAGTAAATTCTTCTTAAGCTTATTGTGTATTGTAGGTACTTGCCAGCAGGACGTGTGGAAAAGAATGAAAATATAAGCGAAGCTGCCGCTCGAGAAGTTTTAGAAGAAACTGGGCTTGTAATGCAATGCACTACGTTATTGACAATAGAGTGTGCCGGTGGCACTTGGATTCGGTTTGTTGTGACCGGTAAGGTCATCGGTGGCACTCTTAAAACACCTTCACAAGCAGATTCCGAATCCTTACAAGCAAAATGGGTTTACGACTTAAATGAGTTAACATTACGGGGGAAGGATATTGTACCTATCGTTGAAAGGGCAAGGTAAGCACCACCCACTTATAGGTTGGTTAGTGAGGGTGGGTGATTGAGTCTTCATTCAAACTTAAACACTGTGGCAGCACTTGCTATTTGGTGAATCTAGTATTTCAGTTTATCTACCTACTGTGTCAGAAACTACCTATATAAGTCTTATAAATGCATCGGGCTGTACTTACCATCAATTCTATGAATCATAAAATATCAGTCTGTACCTATAGCTAGTGACATGTTGGCAGTATGCATGGTATCAGCATTATTGAACATGAGAGAACCATTTCAATATGCTTTGTACACCAAGAGTTATAATTCTAATACTCTAAGAACTTACTTAGAATGCATTGCTTAAATGCTGATTACATACAATTTATCTCAAATTGTAATACAGCTTTAACGCACGATATACAGGGTGTCCATTTGAAAACTTCCCACCACCGATTTATCGAAAACCACTGATTAAAGGAAAAAACGCCGAGACCCATTAAAAAAACTACTTCACCCCCTTCCACACTCTGCCCCCCAGGGTCATTGCCTTAAAAATTTTAAAGACAAGTGGTATCGAGTAATAGTTTCTTTGAAAGGTCTTTCAAAGTCCTTTATTTTTATGTTTGGTTTTTTAAAGTCCGCTGATTCGACTCTGCTATGCTGACAGTCAAAAATATGCGAAAAATGAATCTGGGTTCATTTTTATTATTCCCCCCATTAGTTTTGAATCTCATATAATTCGTCATATCTTCTTGTAAAATGTTACAATAAGAAGTAAATATAAAACTTATCTACATAAATAAATTTTCACAACAGAAAAAGAGTGATTTTGATTTAGGCGCATGCCGCCTGGCAGCTTCAAACCAGTTGGATGAACTGAAACTGAACTTATGTCAAATCCGGGATAGGGAAGTTTGGGCGAGGTGAGGCAGCGCAGTCGCCGAAACTGAACTTATATCCCATCCGAGAGATTAACGGATAAGCGGTATGAAGTTCGGATCTGCTAGTAATATCTTAACATTCTTCAAAAATGTTGATTGAAATTTTCGATGAGGTTCTTTTATAAATTTTTGGTTTCCTATCAATAATTTTTTTAGAGCTTCTTCTATTTTCTAGAAACCTTTGCCGAAAAAATGTTCAAAATCTCCTTGAACATTTTCAGCATGAAGTATAGACAAAATTACTCAACTGTAATTATTCAATTAAATGCAGGGTCTTTCATGAGGAGCTCAGTTTTTCGAAACCGTTCAAGTTATTTTGATTAAACTTTACATATAAAAGTAAGACTAATTTTCAGATTGAACGCATATATTTTCATAATGGCGGCACTTTTCTCACAAACTACCTACTAATGTGAGATATACCTATCTAATGTTGCTATATTAAAATTTTTAGAATAAGATACGTAAAAATCGTCAAGAACTTGAGAAACCTTTTAGGAACCCAGTGGTAAACTTTCTCCGAAATGGTTCCAGAAATTTTGAACAACTTGTAGCTACTTGGGAAAAAATGGATTGGTTAGCCAAAGGGAAACGCTTTCAGTCTGGGCTATGGTTTACTAACGTAGTACTTCATAAAAGTATCTGGCCAATACTGCATTATTATTGATACATGGTGATCTTTACATAGTGTGGTTTTTTAAGCACTGTTATTCATCAATCTAATCAAATCGTCGTTGACAGTTGGAACAGATTACATAAGTTGGTCTAAAAATCAATATCGTTAAGTAAAAACGCACACTAAAAACTTACTGCAATAACGCTTGTAGTGGATCATAAATTTGTTGTTTGGAATATTCCGTGAACTTTTCTAAAGTACTTGTCCAATCACATAGTCCAATTTGCGTTCGTGCCGCGGATATAATGGCCGCTGCTAATCGCGATGGTTTGTAAACTTGCATGAAGTGTATGTCTAAAACATTACTTAAACATAGTTAATAATACTACACACCCCTATAACTTTGGTACAATTGGCGATATGGGTTTAATACGTTGCTGGGTGATATTATGAATGAAAACTCTAAATAACCTGGAACAGTGACCATACTTTTCATTTCATAATTTAAATAATGCCCCTGTATATTTTTACATTACAGACATTTCTATAATTTATATGAGATTGGTTAAAGAAATAATCGTTAATCGATACGCAGAAAATGAGAAATTATGTACTTTTTATTCAACCGTAAATTATCAAATAATAGGTACAAAACTAATTTTAATAATTTAATTATTTAAATTTTTGTTATTGGGTAAATGGGTTTTTCAAGTAATGTCATTGGAGATCAATTTTGGTCTATTCATTGCCACCTAGATTAAAAAACTTGACCGACCTCAGATAGTTACATTACTGAGAATCACGTGTCAGTCGAAAATTGTCTGTAGAATTAATAAATGTAAAAACATATAGGGTGTGATATTTAAATTTCTAAATTTAATTCGACTTCCAGCCAAACCGGAAGTGATAGGAAAATACTGTTCAGTGTATTCAATTCGTCTTTATTTATAATATCACCCACAAAAATTGTATATTCATACCGCCGATTCTATCAACATTACAATGATTTAAGCATGGGAAAATTATAACGAAATTTGAAATTTTCAGTTTTTGAATGATATCTCAGTTACTTTCAAAGATTATTCAAAAATATCAAATACGTTTTTTTAGCCACAAAAAAGGGCACCTTTATCGCAATCAATCTACACTGTATCTCCATTATGGAGATTGCAATGCGGTGAGTCGCGAATTTTAGCCACCCTGTACATTAATTAAAATTTGTTTTTTCCGCAAACTTAATTAATGAACTCGTCTGAGCTCTAGTCCACAGCTGTTTGTTGCCAAAAACAGAAGTCGAAAATTTGCTTTCGGTCCGTAGTTATCGCGTTAAAGGACAGACGAACACACAAACACAAAGAACCTGAGCTATTGCTCAGCATCCTAATAAGGTCAACGTTTTAATGGTGCATTTTTTAAATGCCAAAGTAACTGCAACCTTCTCTTTGGTTTGATTTTTGAGTCTATAAGCGGGCAATGAAAGGCATGAGAACATGTTGATTATTTTGTTTACTAAAAATAGTCTCCGTTGAAGAAAAACTTCCATTTTTTCAAAAATTTAAAACATTCGATCGTTAAGTAGATATTATTGGGTCTTTTTAAATGTTAAGAAAGCGCTAAACTCATCTAAAGTCTTACAATATGAAAGTTAAAATGCAGACAGAAATTAACATATAGCTACCTTCAATCACTTTGTCTAAATATATTTCGATATACACCTGCAAATGATCTATTAACGTTCTGAAATCCGTGTTGTAGTAATCTTCGGAGCTTAAAGCAACTTGCATGTAGTAATGCGTGTAATGTGCGGCTGTTGGTATCATGAGGTACCAATGGAAATATTTCAAAATTATAATTTCCACTTCTTTGTAGTCATTTAATGAGTATCGATTATTAACAGCAAAATTCAATTCTGCAAGCTTTGGTATATTAACAGTTACCTCTTCAAATTTAGCTAAAATCCATTGTAAATACTTTGACTTAATTATAGGATGTACCTGATATCCATAGACACACGTTAGCTACCAGATGTAAACGTTCTGGTAATATGGTGTGATTATCCATGAAAACGTCCAGCATGTATACAGCTAGGTGTAGGCACGAGTAACTCAAGCTCTTATCGTTAGAATAACTTTTGAGGTAATTGATGATAGTTTTACGATACATCATCTGAGATACATTAGGATTACAACTTTTGCTACAGATATGACAGGCGCACTTACTTGAGGTGATTGGTGGTGAAAGGGTACTCTGGCTAGTTCTCTCTGTTGTATTACCATTTTGTAATCATCCCTGTATGGAAACACATTATTCCAATCGTCATCTATCTAAAATGATTAAACAATTGAAAACACTCGCGCATCATTTATGCATACGTTGCATAAAGAATTTTTACCAACTAGTCTTGTTCCACCCATCACTCAGCACAGCTTTGTGTATGAGTTTAGGCCTTTAAATAGTTTTGTACAAAATTACAGCACAAGGGTCATCTTTTAGTCAAAGTGTATCACTGTGTCTGTTGAAAGTAAAATTTACATTCTTTGTATTGCTTATCTTTAGTGCAAAATAGGACAAGGTACAAAGGAAATACTTTAAAAACAGTAAATATCAGTCATGTAAAGATCGCCTTTTTTGTTTTGTATCTCATATCGATTGTTGCAAGTTGATAAAATTTCACATATGTACATCTTTTGTGTTTCATTGAATTTATTTTTGATTTCTCTTTGCCCCAATTTCAAATCATTCACACTTCCACAACAATTCACACAACAACTTAAATGTTGTTTATTTATTTATTATCATTTATCCCTCTCTTGTTCTGAGCCCTCAACAGGCTCGCGCCCAATTACAGAGTGACCCGTATAATGCTTTTTAGAGGTGCCTCTGCAGAAGGTATTCCTATACAGTGTACAATGTGTATGGAACACCAAGGACAAAAAGTTCCGTTATTGTATCAGCTAATGTTTTATCATTAGCCATAACCCATAAAGGACGGGTCTAGTTTTTTTAGTTAGTATTTATGTCTTCTGATTGTGTCTAAATTTTTAAAATACCTACCTTCAGAATACACATTGCTACATGATTATGCAAAAAAAAATTCTGTTCTCAACAAAAATATTTTATGAGCGATCTCTTAACATGAAAATAACGATGCCAAGCTTACGTAATAAAAAAACCCACCTGTAATTTTTGGCGGGACAATAAAAATGGTTGTAATTTTAACAAAATCGCTTTGGAGTTGCTCTCCATGAAATTACAAAATTATCAGACAGTTTTTAGCTTCCTAGCGTCTCATGCAGACGTTCAAATCGCTTTTTGAGACCCTCCTCAAACACTCTGTTCTGCAAAGATTTGCACTGAAAGTTGTATAGACAGTCAACGTACTTACCCTTTATGAGCTTCTTCTTCCGACATTTCGTTTTCAAGATATTCGTTTTGGCCTCACCAATAAATCTTATCTAGGCAATTCTTCTCCCCCCCTCCCCACACTAAACCACCTATTGTTAATCTCGAGAAAGAGTGATGTAGCCAACTAATTCCCTTTCGTGATACCTTTCATATAAGTATGCCTTGTAGGGTAAAACGTGTGTTTACTCGCCTCCCCCATCTTGAAAAGATTCGCTTGACACCACTAGAGATATGGCATAGATAAATGGTTGTTGCATGTAAAAGTAATGCATGTTTTATTGTATTCAGAAGCAGAATCTTCCGAAGTAATTCATGAGACGGCTTGACATTATTAAAAAGCATCTGAATGGAAAGAATTATCGCATTAAAATCGTTGATTGACTAATAAGTACAGGCACAACGAAAACGAAACAGACTGAATATCTCTTATGGAAATAGTTTTTGGAAAAAAACGCAAAAACCGGTCCATTTTGGTTGGAAAGTGGACACATTTTACTTAAAAATTTACCTGTGGCGTCTACCCCCTAAGCAGGGTTGCCACCCCGTCAATAATTTTAAATTGAACGTTGGGTCAAATGACACATGGGAAAGAGCTTTTTATTTTCTACACTCATATGGTTTAATTTTCACATTCGAGCGACTCTTTTGGAAGATACATTTAATTTGTAGGGCTCAGGTAAACACAAGAAACTATGTAACATACGAGGCCTGTTAAAAAAATACGTAGACTGACGTCATAAAACAAAATTAGCTTTATGTACAAGGTACATGTCTAGGTCCGATGCACACACTTTTATTTTTTAGCACATTTTTAAGAGTTAAAAAAATGTGCCATTGTTTGCGTTTTATCCGTCCGTCTGTCCGGGCCCACTTCTGCCGTTTCAAATTACTAGGTGAATGGTCCTAGAGTCCTGGAATTTTTTGCAGTAGGTAACCTATACCTTGAAGGTGTGGCAGACGGCCATCAAATTTCGCTGGCTAAAAGGCTCCCACCCCTACGAATTAATTCCTGATATGCTGTTTTGGAAAGTAAAACGTGCATAACATTTACATACGATAACTAATTGGTCTCAGATTTTGCATACGCATGCCTTTAGTGGTGCCAAGTTAAACTTTAGAAAATATAGGAGGGGGGGGGGGTAAACGCATGTTCTGTCCTTCATGCTATTCTAATGAAAGGTCTCATCGAAGTAAATTGGTTTGTACAGACTATAACTTAACCGTGGACTTTTGAGATCAGTTAGCGACGGGGATGAGGGGAGGGGGATTAATTTTATCTCATTGTATTCTAATTAAAGGTCTCAACGAAAGGAACCGTTTTCTACCAACTACTGCCCTTCTTTCTGTCCTCTTATACGGGGTGGAGGGGGAGGGGGGTGGAACTAGTTTTATCCTTCATGGTACTCTAATGAAAGGTCGCAACGAAAGGAATTAATTTCTACCAACCATAGCTCTCCTCCTCGACCTGATCGGGTATATTCCCTTATACCTCAAGAACGGATTTGCGGAAGAGGGTATTCACAAAGGGCGATTGAGACGTCTGCAAGAAATATATCCATTGGTGATGTCAAAACAAAAGCTATTTCGGTTAAAAAAAATGCGCTTGATCTGGACAAGAGTTGTGCACAATTTATACTTGTTCTCTTTTCTTTTTGTTTTATTTCTGAGTGGACTTATTAAAACGGTGTTTCCACTTCTAAGAACAGTCCTGAAACCTGGCCTGGAACGCTACTTTTGTGATGTCATTTAACTCCTTCACCGCATTTGTCATAATCTGGAGAATCGTTGCAAATCTTCTTCCTTTCAAAGGTCTTTTGAGTTTGGAGAACAATAAAAAGGAGCAAGGTCAGGTTAATAGGGTGGATGTGAACAGTGATCGAGTGTTTGGCCAAAAACGCACGAGTCCTGCTGAGGGATGAATGGACTGGAGCGTTGGTGATGCCTCTTTTACTTTTAGCATAATGCAACTCTTCAGATTGTGTAGAATGGGAAATATTGATGCAATAAATTGCATCTTAATTTTACCCCATTTGGACAAAGGAACCTTCTCATCATGGGAAATGTTATTGTCAACTAAAACATTGTACTTGTAGGACGTACGTAAAGGCTCAGAAAATGAACGATAAAACATGGCACCAAGAAATTTTACCTGCTCCAAAGGAGCACAGTTCTCTACTGTTACGGTTGGTCATTTTAATAAAAAAACGTTCAACAAATCGGGTCCATGTGCTTATAAGTGAACGAACCGCATTCCACCTTCCCGTATGTGAAATCCATCCAGCCAAATCACTGCACTCTACTCTTAGAAGATTTATGGTCGAATTATTCGGCGCTGAAGTGGCACCTCACAGGCCACATGGAGTTCTATCGGTAAGTCGCTGTTTCACTATTACGACCAATATTCTAATCATGGTTTAGGTTGAACACAATTGTATAAACAATAAGGATGGGTTGTGTTTGACTATGCTGGTCGTGTTTAGGGCCCCCTTGGAGGAAGTGCCAATTATTGGAAAATGTGTGTGGCACGAAACATCCATGACTCTTGGTGAAACTCTAATGATACGTGTAGGAGCTCGTAATTCCACTATACCTATCAATGTAATACGCTAATGCGAATTTTTATTGTTACTTTTATTGTTGTTAAATGTATAAAATTTATATTTTAACATAATTTAAAACATTGACTTTAATACTTTTAAAATGTTATAGAATCTCAAGCCTTCAGTATTCAACGAGGATAAGGGTTAACAGTATTTTATTTATTATAACAATGTACATTTTATATCTACCAATATAATAAATTATTTTTTACAAAAATCGAATTCAGGAGCGCTTGCACCACAAGTCATATGGATGTTACACCTTTACCCAGAACAGTTTCGTCCAGTGCAGTCGCAGTTTTGGCAAACTGAGTGTTTTGGTTTATGCGTATTTTGCGCAAATATGCACAGTCTTCTAAAAAACGCATCATATTGCTATGTGCAATGGCAAACGGTCACTAAACCACCCACATAAACACCCTCCTAAACACCTGTCCAGCTGGCTCAAAAAACTTTACCAAACATTTTTTTATGGGAAGTGTTGACCATAAAATTTCTTTAACAAATGTTAACACCTAACATAATCCTGGCTACAAATAGAAAAACCCTTATATCCTGGGTCGTAATTTGGGCTCTATTAAACATACAGCTGATCATTTACATACGACACAAATTTATTCGACAAATAACAATCAATAATGCTGTAAGAAAGAGGCAGTCGATTAAAACAAATTAAATTTAAAAGAAAATTCTAATTTCCTTAAATAATCCTAACATCCGGTCATAACTGTGATTTGTTTTAACACGCCCACAAGAACAGAAACGTCCATCGATGTTGCTTGGAATTCATTTCTTTACCTTCAGGCACATTCACTTTTATAAGGAATTTAAAATCTCTGAACACCATCTAAACTTTCTTCCACATTAACATTACAACCCCCAAGCCCGTTTAACGCTGCTACGACTATTTAACAACTCTTCCCTTTCTTTAGACTTTCCGATTCATTTTGTGATAATCTCCCCCTACAGTTGCCTAACACACCTTTTCATTTGAAACAGAAATTACGATACGCTCTGTATACATCAATATTGTGCTACGTTTTCGATTTCGACCCTTCTGCGCAGATGCTGAAGACCAGAATTGTCACTTGTCAGCTTTCTTCTCTTATATATATGTTTATATGGCATCTGCATTCTGCTATAAAATAAAGTTTTATATTATACAAGACGATAAAAGGAAACTAACCATCTCGTGAAAATTAATTCACTCAATCGTGAAAATATCCCTTTATCGTCTTATATAATAAATAACTATAATTTGAAGCATCATGTTAGCTGCCAACAAGGAAACCGAGGCGCCATATCAAATTATTCAATTTTCTAATTGTTCCCCTAGATATTTTAATTACTCTCGCAGCCTTTGAAAGCTTTCGTCATTTGGAAGACGAGAGAATATTCATATTGTATGATTTCAGTTCACTTCGTGAGTTATTTACCAATTTTCGTTTCCCTATGTTAAGCGAAAATGAGCATTAAAACTACGAGGCCGTGCAGCTTCTTTGTTATCCCAGATCTTTTGCGGTCACAATGGGTACGTGTCAATTAGAGGTTACCGTATTTAGGCATTTTAACGCGCTTTTGATAGCGTCAATCATACATTACTGTACAGGAAACTGTATTTGGCTGGTGTAAGTTCCAAAATAGTGAGAACAATCAAAAATTATTATGATAATGCTGTTTTTGCGATCACTTCAAGTGGGTTGCAGAGCAGATTCTTTGATATATCATGTGGAGTATTACAAGGTGAATCACTGAGTCCTCTCTTATTCTCAATATTTATTGGAGACATAGAGAACTACTTCAGGAACTGTGGCCACTCTGGTATAAACATTGATAACTACACGGACTTAATTCTACTACTCTATGCCGATGATCTAGTCATTCTGGCGGACTCACCTGTAGACCTTAATGGAAAACTGGTTTCTCTAGCAAAATATTCTGCTGAAAACATGCTCACAGTAAATACTGAGAAAAGCAAAATTGTAATTTTTAGGAATGGTGGATTTGCTGCTTCATCAAGTAATTCATTTTACTTTAACGATACACGACTTGAAATTGTTAATAGTTTTAGCTACCTTGGTGTAACCTTTTCGGCCTCTGGCAAATTTTCTAAAATGTCTTCCTTGACAAAGACTAAAGCAAAAGGAAGTATAGGTTCCGCCATGCAACTTCTTTCAAAAAATAAAATAAACTCCTGGACCACGAGAGAAACACTGTACCATTCTATTGTAATTAACTCTCTAGCACACTGCGTTGGCATCTGGGGACTTAGATATCCCGATGTAATTGAAAGAGTTCAAATCTCTTATTACAAGCAACTACTAGGCTTGAGCAAAACAACTCCAGATCACCTTATTCGCTTAGAGACAGGCTCATGCCCGTTATTTGTAATTGCTATAAAAGCTGCGCTTTCTTGGTTACACCGAATATATGGAATGCCCAACGGTAGACTACCCAAAATGTGCCTTAACCGTCTGCTACATCTAGACTCAGCTAATACCACTGTATCTAATAAAAATCTCACTCTTAATTGGATAACTCAACTCAAAGATGTATTCACAGAGCTAGATTTACTCCATGTGTGGACTGAACTGACAACAGGGAACGTTAAACCACACATAAGTGCAGTTGTTGAAAAATATAGAAGTTACTCATTTGATAAAGATATCTCCCAACTTCAATTGTCCACGTACGCATTATTTACGCGTTTTTTTTCATATGATGGTAATACGTCTAATTACCTAACCTTTAAGTTACCCATACACATGATACGATTACTTTCGCAAATAAGGCTATGCTCAAGGAAAGTGATCACCTTCAAAATACAACAAATTACCTACAGAATATACACAGACGAGATGTGCACCCTTTGTAATCTTAATGATATGGAAACTCTAGAGCACATAGTTATTAAGTGTCCTATGTTTCAACCATACCGGGATGCTTATATCAGCCATATTAAATCTGTTCAGGACCTTTTGGACAATCTTAACAACGAGTCTACACAAATCACCCGATCACTTTTTAATTTTATTACCCAAAGTCTAAGACTACGATCCTTTATCATGAATGAATAATTGTTTTCGTTTATCTTGGACCTAAATTTTTTTATTTTTTTTATTTTTTTGTATGAAGATGTACTAAAATTAAGTTAAAACTATGTAAAACTATACAGGTAGGTACATTACAATAGGTAGTTACTATTATTATTATTTTCCTTTGTAAGCTTGATTAGTGTTTGGTAGTGTAGGTATGTTAGTTTAACGCTAAACCCTGCAATAAGTTTTTTTGTTAAGAAAACTACTAAATGCAATAAAAAATTATTATTATTATTATATTATTATTATTATTAACTCTGTAAAGCAGATATAAGCATTATTAACTGTCGCTAATTAGATGTTGCAGCAAATTTTGTATGATTAGGTTGTGTTTGGTGTCAAATGAAACGCGAATTTGAAGACAAGTATTAGAATTTTATGATGACCGGAAGTCAAGAAATTAATTAAAGTTTTACTTTTTGAACGTTATTACATCAAGTACGCCGGCCGACTGGAAATTTTGACATTACATTTCCGCATTTTGGAAATTCTATATAAGGTTGAACAGCATGATTTAGGATTTGTTCCTGTTTAATGTCCAGATAAGCGCTTGATATTCTCATTTCGTTAATTGTAAAGGGGTGCTTTCCTTCCTTTTGTTTTCCATTAGTCATTTTGTGCTTCTGTTCCCGCCTTCGGAAATCGTTACGTTTCCGTGTGCCGTAATTCTGTTTTAGATTATTCGCCAGTGACCGGCCGCCTCTCTTCTCTGGAGTTTCCGTTTTCTCCATCTGATTACTTGTGGCTTCCAAAAGTCAAAACCAACAGTCCTTGGCTAGGAGCAAGGATCGACAATCTTCAGGTGGATTAATTGTAAAGATTAGATAGATACGCATTTTTTTCGAACCGATATACCAACCTGGAATTATTAACAATTTCATAAAATCCAAAAATATAACATCTTTGTAACCTGTTTCTATAGTGATGCATACAGTACGGCATTAAATTTTGAAGATTGTATTTGTACGACACGACAGGCCAAAAAGTACATGGGAGTTAAAGGAAGCATGATATAAAATCACAACTGTTTTTTAGATCACATTTCCTCTAAAATTTTTGTAGATCATGTAAGTTATGAATAAAGTATTATGGTATTATATACCCAAAAACTTTACTGGACAGATTTAAATGTGGAAAAATTCAGTTGTTTTATTTGTTGTAAATAACCATTCCTCCACCCTGACCCGTGCATCACACATATTTGACTACTTTGATGAACACTGTATTACCTCAAGTAAAACAGAATAGATGGCACACGTTCGACCAAATTCATATGGAAATTGAAGAAGCGTTTGTAAAGAATTACTCTTTGATGTGGATATGAAAAAAACTAGCTCGTGTAGAGCTTTAAAAAACACAAGCAATTAATAGTGTACACAATTTAGTAAAATTTATTAACTACCTATTAAAAATGTACATATTATGAATAGTTAAAAGCACCTCCTTCATTTTAGAAATTAGATTCACTTTTTATAAATAAATACAATTTCTTCTAATTACTCTACATATATATACAAAAAGTATTTTGAATGGTACAATTTGCAGTTCTGTCATTAAAACATTGTATACCATTAGCGCTATACCATAAATATATATTACCATAGAGCATTGTTTACTCTATGATATTACATAACATAAAACCAAATTTCTTTTATAAAAGAAACTGTGTTCAGCCATTTCCTGTAAAAAACAGTACAATTTAAATAAGAAATCATGCACACAAAATCATCATTATGCAATGATAAATGCAAAACATAGTCTAAATGTAGGCAATACACAAGGTTAACTGGTACGGCATGTCGGTGTGTCTTGTCCTTCTAAAGGACTAACTCTATAACCCATATTTGCCAACATATTTTCAAAGGGATCCATTACCATACGTTGTTGATTAGCTTCAATTGCCGCCCATGGATCGACCACCACACGGCTATTTTCAGCACCCTCCTGGAAATCAAATAGTACAGCAACTATACTAAAATGCCGAATTTAACTACCTCCCCCGTGGGTGACCACAACTTAACCATAGGATCTATGCCGCTTGTTGCGATCAAACAAGCGCTAGGATGTGGTTGGACACAATTCACAATCGATCCATCACCCCACAGAGCAGTAGCAATATTAGTCGTCTTACGATCCCATATAAATATGATCCCATCATCTGAACCGGCACATATAAAATTGGCATTCTCACCTAAAAGACGCTTCATTTAAATACATCACATTTAGATAGTATCTACCGAGAAAATTGGCTTCTTTGATATCAGTTGTCGTATTGCAATGGCCAATAAAATGAGTCTCATAATCTCTGGATTCTAAACGTAATTGTTTTTCTTCATCACTAAATGCTTTCTCCGAATTTATCTCTTCGTCCTTTTTTGTTTTACACGATGCTATATCATCGTGCAGTGTCTTGATTTGAGCGCTGTCATTATAATCCACAAAATTCGAAGAAAAATAATCGAGCCAATGATATGCTTCGTCACTCCAGTTTAATGCTATTAGACATTGTATTAAACCTATATAGGCATCTTTATTATCATTCCAATTGCGTATTACATGTAAATAGTCTCTCGCTGCCGAATATACATCCCCGGTCCTAAAAATGGCCTTTAATGTAATTTTTTGAGGTGCCTATGGCCATTGGCATTGATAAATTTAAACTGAACTTTGAATAAGCATAACGCGCAACGGATAGCAACGATTGTTAATAAACTACATGGTGCAAATGACCACTAGTTGCTTAGAATTCTTTGATAAGTAAGAAGGTACACACAGAGTGTAACAGGTAGTTACAAGAAGAATTATTTACTGAATTGGAATGGTTACATCCAAACATCATGGTTAGAACAAAATTTAAAAAAAAACAATCCCAGATATTACGTTGCGGTATCAGTCATTGCTTAATTTAAGTACCTACCATCATTGAGGAAAATATGTGAACATATATATATGGCTGTTGAGGGCCGAAAACAAGAGCGGGATAATAATAAATAAATAATACTTCTCTTTTGGCTGGTTTCCCAAATTCTTACACTGCATTATATACATTTAATACAAAAATGAGTTTCATGTAACCTTTCCATGTTTATATCTTGATTTTTAGTGGTCCATTCCATGTTTTTATTATTATTATTATTATGTTACATATTTTTCAAACCTTTGAAATTCAATTTTGAAAAAAATGATTGATTGCGAAAATAGTGAAGAACATGAGAATCTTTGAAGTTCTGCTGCACCCTGTGTAATACTTAACAACTTACAAATTGTAAATTAATTAATTATTGATCAAATTAAAGGTCTTTGGTTAATTCAGTTAATTTAAACTTACCATTTCCGATTAAATAACGTTCTTGCTCTTTCTATAAAGTCACAGGCACAAGGTTGGGAAGAAATTTTTTTATTACATTTTAATAATTTTCTATTTGATGTTATTTTGGTTCCATTACTTCTCTAAAAATAAAAAAAATTATTTATTGTAAAAGTGAGTATATGACAGATTGCAGGTACAGTAAAACATTGTCAATAACTATAGATCGAATTTTCGTACTCTATCAGTAAATTGGTAGGATTATCCTCATTGTAGTAGCCCAAATATCAATAGCATTACTTTACTTAGTCGGCAAATATTGTATATATGAACTATTTTTAAAGTTCAATAGTGTATTCCCATCCTTTCACAAATTTATTCTCATATTCATAAATTTCCCTATAGAAAAACTTTTATCTGTAGGAATATAGGGAACCTATTTCCAAATTCTCCACCTCTTTTTCCAAAAAACGTGGATGGCGCTTGGTCGTTTTGATCTGACATAGTAACGTGTCATTTCAAAAATTAGCCCGATTAGTTTTAGAACATATCTCAGATCAAAAAAGACATGTACAGAGGTATCTCGTTACCCGTGGATGTTTTGTCGAGAAGTGAATGTAAAACATTTGATTTTGAATTTTTTCTTATAAGTTTATATAAAAGTAGAGAATGTGACATTTGGCATGTAATGTGGCGCCCATAAGAAATATGAAAGTAGTACCCTGTAGCTTCCACACCTAGCTTCTAGCGTCTTATGGAAAGAATAATAATAATAATAATGCTTTATTTTTTTGCAAGCTGGTAAAAAATAACAAATTCAAAGTTATAGAGGGAATCACGCAAAAAAAAAGGATTAGAAAACAGTTAAAACTGATCTAAGTTCTAATCCTGAAGAATTGCGTAATAGTATCATGTGTGAATAATACTTTGAGTATACGTAAGAACTAAGAAGTGAAAATATAAAGCGAAAATTTAAAAAAAAAAAATTGAAGTTACGAAAAGAGATACATAGCACTTAGCATTTACTCATCATAAATTCAGATTCTCCGAAAAAAAATACTCATAGAAGATGCTATAGGGAACCATCCTTTTCCGACCGTTTAAGCTAGGAAAAATGAAAATGAAATTTGACATTTTCAGTTTTTTGTTGATATCTCACTTATTTTCAGATTTTTCAAAAATTTCAAATGCGTTTTTTAGTCACAAAAAGGGGCAACTTCCCCCCTACACTGTATCTCTCACGGTTACGGAGATCCCAATGGTGAGCAACGAATTTGAACCATCCTGTTGCTGATAGCACAACTCGAAAACCGTGCAATTTAAAAATAATTTTGCATAAAAATATGGCACTTCGCCAGAGGGAAGGGGGGGATCCTCTCTAAAGGTGAGGGTTAGTAACCCTGACCAACCTGAGGTGGGGAGTGTGTCAGTAGCACTACAACAACACCAGCAGCTGCTATAGGGGCAAATGCAAGAAGCTATGGAAGCAAGTATGAAAAAATATAAAAAAACCTTTTATGCATATGTCAACTATAGATGGATGCGGATCTACAGAAATTATTTTTGAATGTACATGGGTCCCGTTTTTACGGTATCAATAAATAACTGATTTTTTAAATAGAACACCCTGTATATTTTTAGATGTTTTGATGTTATTTGTCAACCTCTACCATTGAATTTATAGTTATAAATTCATAAATTCAATGCCTCTACATTGAATGATATTCATTGTTCGTTGTTTGTCAGTGTTGCCATCTTATTAATTTTTGTCCGAATAATTCCTTATAAACAAGCCTCACTTTGATGAATCGTAGCTACCTTAATTCTGAAGTTAAGAAATACATTTTATTAATAATCTGAGTATAAGGCAACACCTTGATAATGAGAAAGTTGGATTTAGTGATACAGGGTGTTCATATGAAATGGTGAAATTTCCAAATTTCAAAGTGCCATAGTTAGATGAACATTATTGATTAAATGTATTACTTAACTTCAAAATCAAGGTGGGCTACGAATCAAAATGAGGATTGTTTATGGAGAATTATTCGGAAAAAAATTAATAAGATGGCAACATTGACAAAAAACGAAAAAATGAATAGCGTTCAATGTAGAGGTTAACAAATGACATCGAAACATGTAAAAATATACAAGGGTGTTCTATTTAAAAATTCAGTTACTTATTGATACGGTAAAAATGGGACATCCTATACATTCAAAAATAATTTCTAAAGATGGGCAACAATCTATAGTTGACATTTGCACAAAAGGATTTTTTTTATGAGGTATGAGCTAGGAAAGACCGACGCACTGTTGCAGGACCCTGTATAATTGAGTTTTAATTTCTTGTACTTTAATCTGTCGTATTTTTTGATTTTGGTGCAAAACTGTTTGTATATTTTTATGTAGACTCAAAAACGTCTTTCCAGCGTACCTTCTTACCACCCACAAATCAGTAAGGGAGAAACTTATTGCATTGGGGTAAAAAATCACCCCCTCCCCACTTTTTCGACGGAAATACACGTTTTTAAGCACCACAATGATATCTATCTGTCTGTCTGCACTCTCCGCACATTTCCGGCTAAACAACTGAACCCATTAGAACCAAATTTGGTAGGTACCTACACGTATTGTTAGACATAAAAGGAGCGGAAAAGCTTTTGGACAGAATGGCGCATGCGCAGGTTTGCGGTTGAAATCTGTGTTAGTCACAGTATGTTTTATATTTATCATAAAAAGAAACCTTCTTCACACTCTTTATTGTAGATAGGATTTTGATCATTTGTGAACACTTATTTTAAGTTAAGCGGTTGAAACTCGGGTTGAAATCTCCGTTTCATTTGACGGATTTTGTTACAGGACTTCAGCACAAACTTCTTTTTGTTGTAATGTTCTTTTTAACAACTCCTTATATTAATGGGTGATTAAAAATGTGCACCTATTGCTTTTCAGGACTACTTTTTTTGTTTGTTTGCATTTTTATCTTTTTATTTACTATAATGAGACCCGCATGAGGAAACCTATGAAAGAATATGTCTCATTTATGAATTGAAACATCCCTTCAATTAAAGCAAACTGTTCTGACTTTTATGTTAATTAAGTATAAATAATACTTACACTTCTGTATATATTACAACATGGTCTAACATTTTTTGTGTTAGAAGCGTTCTCAGGTACACACAGTTCATTTACATATCTCGGATTATTGATATCAAATAAATAAATTTGTTCCCCACCCATATTGACCAACATATCTGAACCACTCGAGTCAAATGTTACATAAGTGGCCGCCAGTTTGTAAGTCATGTCTCCACGAGCATCTTTTGCCAAATGTCCAGGTGCAAAATACTGCACACATCTAGGATCTTGTGGTTCTGGTGGAGTTCGTTTCCGAAGATCATTTGTATGATTAATCTAAAAGTTATAAATTAATGTGAGGAAAATGTTTGGAAAGTAACCCACCCTATAGGTCGAGGTTTTTACCATTCTACGATCAAACAGTCGAATAAAGCAGTCGTTGGCACCTATCGCTATTAAATGAGATCTAACAGGATTAACAGCAATACACTTCACTTCTGAAGTATAACTAAGGTCAACAAAAACCTTGCTTTTTGTTGAGGCACACTCGTGAGGTTCTCGCATATCGTATTGTCTACAATTAAATAAAAATAGCACACATAGATATTAGAAGAACATACATAACAAGACCATCCTCACTTGCTGACCAAAATAAAAGAGGTTCATCAGGAGAAGTAGCCAAACGTTTAACTCGTCCCATATGGCACCCACAATCTAAATGAGGTGTTTGATGTCGCACCGCCTGTTCTACGGATTGCACTACAACTCTGCAATCGCCTGCCCCAGTCGCTATGAGAGAGTCATCACTGCCTACAAACTATCAGCCTAAAATTGATACAGGTTTCCAAGATTGCTCGATACTCACTTTAACTGAAAATATATTTCCAATATGAGGTGTATGTACTGTTTTTAACAAACGATGCCTAAATGGATCCCATATCATAACGTTAGTATCATCAGAACCAGATGCTAATCGTCTGCATTAAAAGCATGTCACTCTCTCGCATGTAAAACCTGTAAAATTACCTTCCATCAGAGGACCACTGCAAACAATTTACGCAGCCTTGGTGTCCCTCTAATTCATGCTCTAAGCCGAGTCTTTTAATCAGTGCGTCAGTAAATTGTGAATGTTGTTGTAGTATGTTTCCGATTTCTGCTTTCTTCTCTCTACCTTGTAAAAGTTTAACAATGTTACAACTAACATCTGTCTTCCTTAAGGAACCGTCCATCTAGGAATGAATTAAGTAATAAATAATTTAATTAATTATTAATTTGCTTACTTTTGGAAAGCCTATTGAACATTATCGAGATTTAAATGAATAATTAAAGCCTTTGTGGATGCCAACTTTATGAGAGGACTATCACTTGTCAACATCACTTGTTCAATTTTTCCTTATTTGTTTAAACAAATTTTTGTGAACTTTCTTATCCCTTTGACTGTTGTTATTGTATCACTAGTTCTCTGCAAAGCTCGCTAGATGGCACGCTAGACGCCACATATTCGAGATTCTTACACAGTGGCGGCACCGAAAATGGGCCTAGGGCTATACCATTGTTTATTCGTTTATAATTGTTCTACCTACTTAAAGTGACTAATAACATTGAATTTATAACTATCAGAAGCGCAAATTATATGGCACGAAATGTGATGGTTTTCAATAGTTTAAATTGCAAGACGTAGATGTCTCCACCATCAAGAAAGATGTAAAGTCACTATACAGGGTGGTGACTTACGGAACGCATCAGGGATGTAAAATTCATAACATGCGATTATTGGCTCCCCAAATTATTTTAGAGCAAAAATGTATTAAGGTTTTTTGTAGAAAAAATTTTTTTACGTAAATCAAACGTATTAGTTTTCAATTTTTTGCATAATAAAGACGGAAAATTGGAAACATAAAACCCCCATCTTTTTCAATAATCTGTGATGCCATGGAATTTTATAATACAAAAACTACGCCAATATCCGTCATGCCATGGAATGTCTGCTATAAAACAAATCAAATTCTTTCAAAAAGTTTTTTTTTCTCCAACCACCTGAATAAGACGCTATTTTGTGCCAGTGTTCGGTACGTAAAATTGACGTTTTGCGGATTAATCGCTTTCACCATGGCAACTGTACAAAAAGTGGATACTTTTGGTCCTAGTACCAAAAAGAAATTGACCTTGAATGTTGGCCAATTAAAAAATTACAATCACGGAGATATGTCACATTGACATCGTTTTACATTGCAGGTTGTAAGATATTTTTATACATACAAATCAAATATTTTTGCATATTCAATACAAATAATGATTTCTATGCGTATGTACATGTATTGAAAATGATTTACGCTCGCTATTTTTATTTAAACCATGTGTAACGTAATTTACATATTCGGTGAACGTAATTTTAATACGTATACAACCCGCCGTCGCGCGTAACGCCATCTACTTCAGACCCATTGCACTATTATCTGTCATTTTGAATTCAAAATTTGAAAAAGTTAATTGCAATTAATTTTAATTAAAAAACTGTATGGTAAGTTGTTTATTTCAATACAAAATATAACATTATTAATTTGTGTATACAATAAAAATGACTGAAACTGATAGCGACATGGATTGGACTCCGCCAGTGATTATAGAAACGGCAGAACATCCTACCTCAAGATTTGCTCCCTACAAAGTTGCGAGAGGTGAGAAGTTAGAAATAAGAACGAATAGGTTATAACCTAAAAACTAGAGTGGCACGACACGTGAGGACAAGAAAGCAGAACTTGTTATACTATAGTAGTGAAACTGTGACTGAATCTAAATTCGAATATAATTTGAAGTAAAGGGGTTTGGAGAAAAAATTTTATGTTTTATTCGTACAAAAAATGCGTTTTCGGGACTCGGAAGGTTGCTGGACTCCGCTAACGCGTCGTCCAGCAACTATCTTCCTCGTCCCGAAAACTGACATTTTTTGTACTAATGAAACAAATAACTATTTTTTTTCATTTGGGCATCGACTACTGAGGTCATTAGCCACTATAACCACTTTAAGTAATTACTATCATACTTTCAAAAGCAGATTTATGTCTTTCATAAAACTAAGTATTTTCCTCATATTATCGGTTTCGTTGTTAAGACATTGTTCTATATTATTGGCTAATTTGTATTTCCGTCTTACGTCAGAGAATTGTATTAAATTTAAAACAGCGAATTCAACATAAAGACCAAATTACTAAAAACGGTTTCCTAATGTAACAATTTACAATTAATGTTCGAATAAATCACCATTAACTGCAATACAGTAACCAAGTCGATCATAAAATCCATTTCGAACTGCTGCTAATTGATAATTGGATATCTTTTTGTTTTAGAAAATTCCATGGCATCGCAGTAGATTATTGAAAAAGATGCGGGTTTTATTTTTCCAATGTTCCGTCTTCATATGAAAATGCCACTCATTTTAATGTGTGCGAAGTCAGTAAGCAATCGTTATAATAGAAATAAATCTTGTAAACGCACCATCATCTCTCGGTTCCAAGTGCGAAAGCCAAATGATATTCACAGCTAAATTAATTATCAAACAAACTGAGGTGGTCATGTCAAAGAATAAGATAGTCAAAGCTTCCAATTCAATTGCGGCGATCATACTGTTTCAAGAAACATGATACCTATTCCTCCATTTAACCAACTATAATGGCTTGTTGGTATAGAATGAGACAACAGCACCTTCAATAAACTGGAGCGAAGAATCCGTGTAAATCTTTCACTAAAGAAAGCCAAGTTGGCAAAAAATCTTCGTATTTCAATGGAAACGGTAGTTCATTATCTTCAGAATGACAAAAATTCATAGATGTCATCGTCATTGTAGGTACCTATACGCAAAGAGTACCCTTTGGTGTAGGTAAATAGGTAAGATAAAATAGATTATTTAGAACCGGTTAAAATAGTAAGTAGGAAGGTATTGCTGTTGGTAAATGGTAGGAACAAATAGTCATTATTTATAAACTTTATAAATGAAGCATACTATTGCGGTATACATAATTAACCTTAACCATTAAATAAATCGTAAATTAAATGGATAATTTTGCATTGCATGATGGAGATCTATTTCGTGTTTAATTGACTTAGGACTTATCAAAATTAGCATACAGGTACATCTAGAAGCTATTATGTACGATTTTCTTCTGTCTTCTGAGTCACTTGCATCATAATCGTCGTCCTCCACAACCATTAGAACCACTTTAAATTCTAAGCCCTTCACACGCAATGCCCATGATATAAGGAAATCATTCACTGCCTTATTGCTGATAAAATCTTCGACATCACCAACGCCTCTAGGTCTGTAACCATTTTCGACAAAATGGTTGTCTATTTCTTCATTTATGGCTTCAGGTACAAAATTGTCATTAACAAGAAAAGGAATAATACATACATCATTAGGTTTAAACCCTTTGGTGGCGCATAGATCAATTACAACGTTCACCACAGTTTCCTTAGTTTTAGTCTTATCATTTATCTCAACCCAAAATGCTGGTGGGCCAAGTATGTGATGTCCATGTGTTATATTGTTTAGATTCATGTTAACCAAAACGGATTTGGGCAATTTTGGCATGGGATCGGAATAATACTGCTTAAATATGTTGAATATGTAACCGGTAGATCGCATCACTTTATTCAGAACAATTGCCGGTACTTTCAATACCCTTGGCGAGTGCTTTGGTAAAAACAAAGAGGCTTGATTTATATCGACCAAAAACCACAACTCGCCCCATTTCTTGTTAACGCACTTTTGCTTACTTTCACAGTCAATAAAGGAAATTCTATTACTTAGAATGCACGTGGTTAATGTACAGTTGTCGTCGTGGTATCTTCGAAAAATAGTCGATAAAGTCTTTGTCATGATGCCGTCATCAAATGACAGGCATATAGCCTCCGCTTCATCCATGAATATATGTTTGTAGGACTTTTTATTTCGAAGTAAAAAACCTGTCTGCGATATGTAAAATCGAGCTGTATCGACGAAAGTGTCCAATCCCAAAAGTTTCAATTTTTGTTCAAAGTCACACCTATAGGTAACATTCAGTAATAAGGCACGTTTAAAAGTGTAAGAAAAGTATCATACTTACTTAATTCCTGGCCAATAACAAATGTAAAGTGCTCGGTTGTCAGAGTTTAGTTCGCCCAACTCAAAAAGCTGTTGCAGTTTCCTTAAAACTAACAGCGTTTTGCCTGTACCAGCAGCACCGTGAACCACTAAAGGTCCTCCTCCTGGTCTGGAGCATCTATCATTGTCCAAAACTTCCAGCTGTTCTCTATTCAATAGAGCCAACATGTCCCGATGGATTTCATCAACGAATACTCCGCAACTTAAAACAATGTACCTGCAAAAAAAAAGGATATGGGTAGGCTTACTTTACTAATCCTCAAACAGAGAACAAGTTGCTATAATTTACGCTAAGTAGGTATACTTTTCCCAGAAGTACCTATTCCATGTCAATAATTTGTACCGATTGCACCCATTTCACAAAAATCTATTTCTATATTTACGATACGTGAATAAGTATTACCATTGTATTTATATAAACGGTATTACTATAGTAATCCCGAGAGTAATCTATTTTTGACTTCCCTTTTCAATCACACCTCACAAGTTGCGATCTTATAGTTATGAGAGGGTTCACAACTGTTCAAAATATAAGAAGTGCGCCATATTGAATAATAAATCTGAATTATTATTCAATGGCCATATGTAAAAAAATCCCTAGAATAATCACCCCCGAAAAATGTCCTACAAATACAAAAATGAAAGGCCCCCTTGTTTTTCGTTAACCGCAGACCTGTTACGCTGGTCAATCAAATATATTGCAAAAATTAAAGGAAGCCCAATGATTTAAGTAAATACCTAGATAACATTGTGGTTCTACAAACCGATATTGCCTCGAGAATCAGCTTTCTTGATTGAATTTTCTATGGCGTGTTTTCTTGGACGAAAATATTTTGCGGCGCCCAATTTTTTTGAAGAGTATTCCGAGTACGACTTTTTCAGAAACGAATATTGGAAGGTTCTAATTTTTCGAGGCGTATTTATCGGAGAGGCGGGGACATATTGTCATTTTGTCTTGTCGATTCATCGCATTTGCGAAATGATGAAAAATCAGTTTTAAGTTCACAAAAAGAAGATGGGTAGTACAAAAACTAGATCCTGATTCTTGCACTAACATACACCCTATACTCTTATTTAAAAAAATTGAAAAAAAGTTTATATCGCCTTATGGTGACTAACTTTAGCGCATTTTCCATGAATTGAGCAGTACTTCTCGAAAGGTTATATAACGGAATATTTATGTGTATACAAAAGAAAATAAGTTATAGGTAAGTGACTGGTGTCCGAAACCTCGATTTTTTCCCATTTTTTTAAATTTTTCTTAAATTGAGAATTATCGACTGCACAGAAAATATTCTGCCACTGTCTTTTATAGAAGATAAAATTACCTACAACTTGAACCCAAAAGCAGCTACATAGGTGTAATTAGTCTTGAGACACAGCTTGTCATATATTCCATATATTTTTCATAAAATTCCCCAAATGCACTTTTAGTCATCTGCATATTATTAATACCTAATTATTATAATTATTAAAAGGCTCTGGGAATATTTCCTAATATGAACACATTTGTACAGGGGGTTGAGGAGGCACCGCCTCTCCCTTCCTGTTTCGCCGCACGCGTCGATTCAGACGAAAAGTATCTTCTTATACCTTTATTTAGCACGATACAGGATACTTGCCAGCAATTCTCATCCATCTCGTTCAAACGGGAAAAATGTACATTTAGTGGGCGAGGCAGACGCGTACCTGAAGCCTGACGTCATTCATCAACTGGCATCAACTGTCTGATAGCGCTGTCTGGAGCAGACATGGACGACATTTTGTACTCCTTGCAGTATAAGCTGTTTCTTCTCTCAGCTGTCAATGCAAAGGTCAAGCTGAAGAATCGTCTGCAGATAAATGTCGCAAGGGATTCGTTAATTCGGTAAAGAAGCATAAGCGAGCTGCTTAGGTTTTCCTGATCCTCTTCAGTCAGAGAACGGGAATGCAAGGGGGGTTATAACGGGCGATCAAAAATGAGAAATGCTGTCGAGTCGCCTTTGAAAGTTCAAGTTAAGTACGATACGATTTATTTCGTACTATCTAGTAATCGCCGCTTTCCCAGACCCATGATAGCTTATGATACGGTGTTGATACGGTCTAGCTAGTGGGCATAGTAGTCCGTATCGTATATTTTCCGTGCCTGATACGTTCCTGTTACGGTCATGGTACGGTACGGTGTAGTGGGCAGATACCTTTACCAGACTCAAATGGGTCTGGGAAAGCGGCGATTACTAGATAGTATGAAATAAATAACTATTTCCATGTAAACAAAAATTCCAAAGGTGGCTCGACAGCAACTCATTTTTGGTCACATAATACTCGTATTAAGGATGGGTTCATATAGGTCTCCGTTCATACGTTTCCGCGATTTGTCCGTTAGCCAATCAGAAGATAGTCAACTTCGTATATCCTCTGTTGAACGACCTGTCATATAAACTTCTGGGAAAGGCAAAGAAAATTAATACTTTGAGAAGTCTAATACAACTCTACAAAAATAATTAGAGAGAGAGAAGTAGGTAGATCCTGAAAAGGGAACATAGCTAGAAAACCATAGGGCGAGATGATTCTAAAAGAGGCTTCCAATATGTATAGGTACGTTAATGCAACAGAAGTGGATTGAAAGATAATAGAACAGGAAAAAGTGTGAAAAATGGCACTTAAAACAGAAATATGCATTCATTTTCAAGACGTTAAAGAAATGAATTATAATGACTAATGAGTAACATAGAGATATGTTAATCAGGGGTACGACCGCTGGACGTTAGATCTCAGCTCTGAATTACTTAATCACTTTGTAAGAAAACGAGCCACCCGTGATGCCACAATTATTTATAGATGATTTTTATACAATACCTAACAATAAGCTTTAAGCAGCGCACCTTTATTAATTATCATTCACTTATAATCTATATCTATGATCAAGAATTTGTTTTGCGAATAATTCTTTATCGACCTAAGTAAAATACTTTATATTAATCGCGAAGGAAGATGATTGGTTGATTTTTATAGTAAATAATTAGAGACAGCTATTAATGGTAAGTCTGTAAGGCAGTCTGGCGACACTTTTGCAATAAAAATGCAGATTTGGTTTCTTGGGGCATGTATCCTGTACTGCATATTTCATAGAGCACTTTCTGAGAAGTTTAACAACAAATATTTATTTTCTACTGCCTATACAAGAAGATGTAATAGGCGTTAAACCTGTAACGAATGTCACTGGCATATCCTTACCTGTTTAGCAACGTAATAAAATGTTTTTCAGAAATTCCTCTTGATGTAATTATATTATCGACGAACCAGCGATCAAAGTTATTTTGATCCGATAAGTTGTTCTCAAATACATGTAAATTTGCATCCTCCTTCCATCTCTTCATAATTTCTTGCTTCGGATCGCGGGTTAATGCACTTAAGAAAGGCCACATTATGAAACATTCTATTAAACGTTCTTCTGGGTATATTTCTAACACTCCCTGTAGGACCTCCATGTGATCTCTAAGTTGATGCTGTGCAGATCTTTTATTGTTTTTTATTATCTTTGCATCGCTTGTTACATTGACATTATTAATTACTTTGGTGCCATCAAATGTTGATTTAACTTCGGCCAAGGCGACGGAATATCGTTCTGCAAAGAAGAAGTTTATTAGGTACCTACATACGAGTATAATATACACATTAATTTACGCGTACGGTAATTTAGTACTTATTACCGCAATAAACAAAAGGTATTAATACGATCAAATTGCATTTCATTCACTTTGGCTGAAATCCACTACATGAAACAATAAACATGTTAATAAGTACGTAGTCTTGGTCTTTCCTAAATGTTTATTGTGAAAACTTTTTCTTTTGGTTACATAATATACACTGTGTCTAAGGTAAGGAGGGGCACTATTAACACTCTAGGAGATCTAGAGAGATACAAATTTGGGAAAGTTGTGCAATCAAAGGTCTGATATCACGATATCATATTCTTAACGCCCTTTTTATTCTGAATGTAATTATGTATGGCCCATACAGTATGGGACTTTACGGTTTAATTGCGGGAGCCAATAGGTGGTCCCTTTGCCACTTAGGAAAAGTTCCACATGTACCGCTTCATAGCAAACTTGAACGAAAGAAAATCTGGCGATAATAAGGTATTGGTGAAAGCGAGCGCGGTTGCCACGATCTCTTCGGACCTAAAAGTTGCGTTCGTCCCATTTACGTCGGCTGGAAAAACCGAAATGCGGGTTTTCTATTGGATGATAGGGACGCCAATTGAGGTCATTGCGTTCAGAAAAGAAGGCCCTTTTCCTTTAAATGTCGTGCCTTTAAAATCTCTCATGAGATGTTATATTTGTGGATGCTAAATATGTTTAAGATCGTTTGAGAGCAAGTGTTTAATGGTACATATTTAAGAGCTTTGGAAGCTGCTTTGAGCAATTGAATTTCTACTTATAATATCTTATTCTTTTAGAGAGAATCTTTAAGGGCCTTCAAGCGATTTCCATGTACTTTCAAGAGCTCTCTAAACACATTTTGCTTCAGAAATCTGCAACAAACCTGAGTGGGCTTTTTATTCTTCTTAAAACCTACATAGTGCAAAGTATTTGTCCATAAGAGCCTTCAGGACTATACCAACCTCTCAGATGATTAATTTTTCTTTATGCTTTAACAGGTGGTCGCCTACCCGGTTACAAAAATTTGGTTTTGAATTTGTATTTTGATAAAACATATGAAAATTTACGCTTATACCGCTTGATAGCGAACATAAAAAAGTATGTCTGGCGATAGATTAGTGATAACAAGAAACATGTTGGGAAAGGTGAGCGCCACGCCGCGCCGTTGCAAAGATTTTTCTAACCTAAGAGTTTCGTTCTGTTGTGTTTAAAATCGAGCACGTGACAAAAATGCAGGTAAAGGTAAGCTAATCGATGTTGTTGCGCTCAGAAAATGGGTCCCTTTTCAGAACTACTAACGGGGGAGATTCGAATAGTGAGAGAAGTGGAAGAGCGATCGCTCTAAGCTAATTTTGGCGAGTGAGCACGTAGTAATTTGGGTACGCTAATTATTATTCTTGGTTTATATCTTCATATGGGTGTAAAGATTTGCGGTTGTAACTCGAGAACCAGAACGAGAGTGAAGTCAATCCGGATGGTAGTAAAGAATTAGCAGTTTAACTTCGGTTATAAACATATTAAGTAGCGGGCACTCCTAAATCTCGCGACGAAGAAACACTTTCGATTCGTATTTACGAGTGGTAAAATATAGGCGACGGAATATTTTCCAGTCGGATACCCGTTTTTCAAATAAAAAATGGAACCATATCCCGCGGGGTTACGCTATCATTGAAAACGTTCAGCCCTAAGGACTCTTAGGTACTTTTCTATAAAACAGATGGAATCTTGCCTTCCTGACGAAGATTCCATGTGTAAGTGCTATGGGCACTATACGTTGTGAGGAAGGACGTAAAACCGGGATGTCGGGTCGGGAGGTATGGAATACACGATTTTGGAACTTGTAGGGAAATGAACATTGAATCATTCCTTTTTTTCTAGAAGGGTTTACAGAATTCCGAGTCGGTGTTAAATATCACTCTTTTGGTTTTTTTTAGTTTGTTTTTAACGAACACATCTTATTGCTTAAACTTATACGTTATCATGAAATATAATTTGGTATCAACAAATAATCGAGCAAATAACCGCGTTTTGCGTTTTTGACGACACCTAAAAATTTGTCTTAAAAATAAGGGCCTTAATAATGTCCAAGTTTAGACGAGAAATCCAATCGCCAATTTTTTTTTCTCGAATAATTTTAAAAATAAAGTGAGATAAACTTTAAATGATACGGTATTTGAAATCAGTGAAGAATTGTAAATCATTTCTAATTTAACTTTCTTTCTATAATACCAGGTGATTCATTATAGAAGTGAGGACAGTTTGAATTTCCCGCAAATCAAAAAAATTATGAAGTTCTGATGGTTATTTATTTAATTGCAGTGGTGTATCATCATGCTTTCAGTAAATCGTTTACTTATTTATAATCTACAAATACTGCTTCTGTTTTACCACAAATTATAAACTAACACTAGACACAGTCAGGTTTCTTATATATTTTAGTGCTCAACTCTAAAAATTGTTCAAAATGGCAATAGTAATAAACCGCAAATGGCACACGACAATTAACGGCGACACTGGTTTCTTAAATGACTATCCTGCTCATGACAGAAAAAAATTACTAACGAACTTCAAACCGTCAATTTAATAATGCAAAAAATACTAAAACCTTACGCGCGAAATTCAAGCGATCATCACTTCTAATGAATCACCCGGGAGCTAAAATATCAATACTGAGCTTCGAAATATGAAGACATTCTAAAGCATTCGACGAAATTAGCTTTAGCTTCCACAGTTTATAATTGAAAATTATTAAATACATATAATCAAAACCCCATCAGATATTTAACATAAAAACAAAGAAAGGTAACCGTAACAGGCCGATAGAAAGCCAACAACGAAATTACAAGAATGACACAGTAATATGGGGTAACGTAACAGAACGTGTAACTTCAACCAAAGGGTAGGATATAACGTATAATAATTGTTTCCTGCTCTCAAAGGTATAATATTATTCTCTTTGCTTCAATGCAATAACCGAAAACTTACCTACCGGTCGCTAGTTTAGAACTTACCTTTGTGTTTGACGAAAATAACGAAATCGTGCTCTCGTATCATTAATTTGCCAACCCTTTGATTACGAAAGGAATGTCCAGCATAACTTGCGCTATGAAAAAAGGTCATCCAAAGTCCATCCAGTCGTGTTGTGTCTGCAAGACCCGATAATCTTGTAAAGACGACTTCTTCAGCAAGACTCGCTTGCTTCTCTCCGCAATTTTTGAACTTGCTCGGGATGCTATATACAGCATTCTTACCGTCTTTAGCTTCGGGGAATTCTCTTTCAATGTACCTGCCAATCAAAAAAAAATATATTCTCACAGTGTATGAATTGAACATGAGCTGCCTTCACATTTATTAGTATTCAATATGCAATTTAATTACACTTTCATTAGTTAAAATCTGAATTAAAGACAAAGTTTTTACGCTCTGCAATATGTGTATCAACTTAAATATTAAATGCGTCAATACGGAGTCTTATTGAATAAATTTAATATGGTCTACGTACCTAAACCCCCAAGTTGGTAAAGACGATGAATTTTAATTAGACGCATTATAAAATTTATATAATAATTGTCGTAAATAATACGCGACGAAACAAGTTAAACTACTCTGTTACTAAATTTACTTTTGGAATTTAAAAAATCTTGTTCTCTGCGGCGATTTTTTATAGACATTGTCTATGAGATTTTCTCAAAGTTTCTTGAACTTGTGAACGCGTCCATCATTACGAATTTAATTAAAAATCAATAATCTCTGTCTGTCGTTTCAATATAGGTTTAGTTTAAACCTTTGAGTATAGACTACGTTATAATCAAAGGTTTAGACTAACAAAATTTAAAGCTAGGTATATTTTAATGGTTGTTTGAACTGCAAAAAAACATTTTTAACTATTTATAGCATAAAGCTGTTATAGATGCTGGGATTAGATTACACCCGAATTATACAAGGTGTTACAAGTTACAGTGGAATTGTCTATTTTTAACAGGTTAAATACCTTTGTCGTTGCAAAAGCTATAGCAAATGGTTTAATATATTGCCAACGATTCAATCAAAGAGTATCAGTAAGGTTACTTATTTTTACATTCTAATAACTGTGGTTAATTAGCTTACGATCAGTTACATAATTTATTTTACATAGGTTGTGTTAGTTACATCGTTATTCGTTAGTACTCTCTTTACCCAAATGTAATACTGAACCCATTTAACAAAAGCAGATTTCTGCCTATTCAAATAGGCAATTTCATATTCAATTTTTTGCCATAATTTTTGTTGGAAGTATTCCATCCTTGGTAAGCTAAACGGTTTCATTTTATTTCATCATGGCTCAACCAGCACATCCGCCATCTACAGAAACAATTTTGATGATTTATCGGTCATCACGCTAAAAAAATTATGACTTTGTCACCGCCCTCTTTTTAGATGAGAAAAATTGATTTATTCTTGCAATAACTTTATGGTGCGTGATCGTAGAAAGACATTGACATAAAGGGGGAACTTTTTGTCTGGAACACTGGCTAGGTATACGTATATCGCCAAAACAATATATTTTAAATGAAGCTTTGTCAAATGTACTTTGTACCTACATACGTAGTCTGTGGTCAGTGGCGTACTTTTGCATGGTCAAGGGGGACATATTTTTTCAAACGCAATCGCGAGTTTTCATTCCATATTATCATAAGATAAACTAAAATTAAGGAAAACAGTTGTATTTTATACCTAAGTTTACTGGCTTGATCATGTTTTTTATGTTGTCATTTTAAAGATTCATTCTTTAATAGCACCTTACGAAAAATAGTTGGCCATCCTAGATCTGTAGATGCACGCCACTAAATAATTTATGACAATTTCTCCGAAACGAAACGTATTGAAAATCTCTCAACTGTGTCTTGTACACCTCAGAAAATGGCAATGAAGAAGTATCTTTCATTGTGGTTGTATCTGCTCAAATATCAGAAAAAAATATAAACGAAATCGGCAAATTTCGGTTATTTTGGCATATCTTCGGAAGTAATCGGAATTTTCTGTTTTTTTTTAAAGCATGGTAAATCGATAAGTCTTTAATTGCGCATCTTTTCTCTAATTGGATCATCGTTGTATCGTCTATGGTGTCGGAGATCCCCATAGACACAGTGTATATCGACCTGTATCTCGGCAACGAAACATTGTAGAACCTTAGGGTTTTTTGATTTTCAACAGGAAGCTAATAGTTTCACTAACTGTCGACTGATTGATGATTCGTTCGTTCCGGAGCCTTTTATAAATTGATTTAGATCGTTTCAGCATTAGATATGTACAATCGCGTTATTTTTACGTCACAGCCTGATAGTTACTGATCTGCCACATGAAAAATGCGCTGAAGTGTAGTGATTGGCACTCTTTTTAACTTGTTTTACTTAGTTTCCCAACGCTCTTGGTGCATAAATAACGATTTCGACATGTTTTGATAAAAATCCATGCGGTCGCCAAAAATAGATCAAATTCATGTTTTGGTCAATGAGATAATGCTCTTGGTCTTTTTTCCAACGCTTTTGGTGCATAAATAACGATTTTGACATGTTTTGATCAAAATCCATGTGGTCGCCAAAAATACATCAAATTTATGCCTTGGGCATTGAGATAATGCCTCTAGTCTTTTTCCTAACGATCTTGGTGCATAAATAACGATTTTGACATGTTTTGATCAAAATCCATGTAGCCTCAAAAAAATAATTTAACATCTTGGAATCACACACATACGGTTATCAAATGTGCACGTGATGTACTCTTTGAGCATCAAAATAATGCCTTTGAAAGCTTTTACAACTCCAAATTCATGTGTAAAGAATAATTTTGGGTACATTTTGTTCTAAAGGACAAAGTCTTATAAATAGGGTGTACAAATACGTTGCCCTTAGTTTCTTAAGAATAATGGAGCTTTGTACATTCTTGTTTTCAGTATATGAAGCACTAAATAGTAAACACTGCGACAAAAGAAATGAGAGATGTATTTTTTCAGAATTTTGTTAAACAAAACAAATAGTTAACAGAACACTTGGTATACTAAACATACAAAATAAAGAAAGATTAAAAAAATAGGTATAAGCGAAGATCTTGCGTTGAGTATGCTGACATACCTACCATGTGATATTGCTGGTTCTTCAGAATCGGATATTTGAAAATACATAAAAACTATGTATTGGTTTGACATGGTATTGATAACAAAAACAAAAATCGATACACAGAATACTTAACTATGCAGTGTGTTTCAACTATTGCTAACTTTCTTATATAGAGTGTCCAGGAAGTAGGGACGACTATTAAAGTGCTACAAAACTTACAAAATGTATTGAAAATGTAAATTATACACGATGAGTTATATGTTATACCACAGATTTAAATATACTATATTTAAATCTGTGGTTATACCTACCTCTACTCATCTCTCTCGTGAAGGCGCCCTTGCTACAGTTGTTTATGGACGATCCAATTCCAGTTACGAGTACATAGTTCAATGTGGGAAGGTCATCAGATGACAAACATGAAAAACCCACAGCTGCCAACCGTCACACGACAAAATTTCAAATTATGTAGTCGCTACTTCCTAGACACCAATTATTATTGGAGCTACACAATCAGTAATGCCCGTTTGCACCGACAAATTTAAGCCGAGCTTAGCTTAAGCGTAGCTTAAAATCCATGGCAACCATCGTCTCAAAATCGTTGCCATGGATTTTAAACTACGCTTAAGGTAAGCTCTCCGCTTAAATTTGTTGGTGAAAACGGCCATAAATGCAACAAATCTGTCAGTGGTGAAATTCTAGAAACGATTGGCCATCGGGTTATCGATACATGTATTTTTTCTAATTGTACCCTGAATTGTACATATTTTGAGAGTAAATTAAATTCGGGATAAAAAATATTATATCCACTCTAAAATAAATAATAGCAGAGATACATATTAAACATTTAACCTAATGACTTTTGAATACCAACGTAAACCAATAAAAAGAAAGAATGACTTAAGTATGTTGCTTTCAAATGGTACAAAAAAATAATACATTTTTTTTTTAATTAATATAACGATTAGTGTAGGCACTTTTTGGAGCGGCCTAATTTCGCATGGTGTGATATGTTAGGAGGAGTATTAAAAATAATCGCACTGGCACCAGTATTTCTACGGTTTTAATATAAAACCTAATTATGTCTAATACTTAATTGCACAATTAGGTTTTTCTCTCACAAGAAATTCCACAAGTGTGAGAACAATCATCTATTTAAAAAAACCATCATATACGTATTGTAGCGAACTTTCTAGAGCGATATCAGGGCGTCATCACGTCGCTACCGGCGATACTAAATGAAAGCGGATATGACTAATTCTTTCTGTAACTTATGATAAGTAGGTATGCCTTCTAGACGATTGTGCTATAAATGTGACTAAAAGTAAGTGATATATAGTATTTAGATAACTATTATAAATTAATTTGATAAACATAAATCACGTAATTAAATTTACTACGGTAATGTCTACAGGTTGTGACAACAGCGCTACGGGATGAAGATTGCAGCAGTGTTGTTACAGAAGTTTTCGCCTTCGAATCCAAGTTTTGATAGTTTGATTTGATGTAGGTATTTTTTTTTAATACCTATGTATTAAAAATACATGCTCGATAACATACACAAGTACAAAAATTCTGTTTTTAATGCGCCATATACATTTATGAAATCAACTACCTACTTATTCATTTAGAATGGAACTACATAAGAATTCCAACCATTTGAACGTGGCAGTATCTCATGCTTGATGTATTTCAAACGTAAGCAGCTAATGCGGTTTTGCTTTAATCGCATTGAGGAAGTTAAGCAATAGAAGACAATTGGATTTTATATTTTACAATGCGAATAAAGACTAATAGTTTTTTTTTTGTTAAAGATAGGCAAGGATGCTAAGTGGCATCTAATCTACTTATTGGGACGTCAAATCATGCGTTGATATCTACCTATCTATCAAATTGGTAGTGTTAAGAATTATAGTGGCTTTGTGCAACGGATAAGTTTCTTTGAGAGTTTTATTGCATTATTTATAATGTATTTAAGCAGTCGAGTGGTTGCAATTCTTTCGAGCTGAAATACCTGGCGGCCTTGAAATTTTAGTAAATAATGAAGATTGTTTGACTTCGTTTTTTTTGCAATTCGTGCCGGCCGCAAGGAACTTTTCAGGCGGCGTATGTAGGTACACACAATTTTAGCATTAACACTTATCTAGTGCAGAAAGAAAATACTTACTTAAATAGATAATCCTTAACGTGTACACCATCTTGTTGAGAGGGTAAATACACACGATCTCGGCATTCCTGGTCGTTGCATCCCATCGCTAACCGCTATCATTTGCAAGGCCAACCTGTACGACTGTACATGCCAATATCCAATTTATCACTGTACCTCTAAAAAAATGTTTATATATCACCTTATCTTGTCAATGGTTTTGTATTATACAAAAAACGAGAACGTGTATACGGTTTATGTTACTCTCAGTACCCCTTCTGCTGGTTACACAATTAGTAATTTAAACTCGGGGATTTTTGTGTACATTTACTCATTTACATAATACACAATAAATACCTAATGTTTACCTTTGATATGAGTGATGCAATATTGCCGTAATTGTCTACTAAAGTGAAATAAACAAATTTGTCATTGAGTTTTATCCTAGCACTAATAAATTTATTTGTGTGATTCATATATCTTAGATTATTAATGAAATCATTATCGCATACCTGCCTACCGATTACGTACTCATATTCCACCAATTTAGCTGTAGGCAATTTTAAATTAACACCTAAAACAACAAGTTTTAGAAAATCTACGTGTACAGCTAATCTTATTGGGGGTAAACCGATCTACCACAAGATTACCAATTACTCCTACATTTTTCGATTTTCGAAATATATTTATTCCGATCATTTGTTGGTACATTTGGCATAACAATAAGATGATCATATGCATAATCCCCATCCAATGTTCATCTTTCAATAATACCTATACAAGTTAAAAAGTCTACGCACGTATGTTGATGAGACGATAGTATCTTTCCAATGCGTAACAATTATCGTAATTGCGTTTGTTGCTGCATTCTCATCGAAGTTGCCCAAAAATTGAGAGAGACCTGAGATGGAAAAAGAACAGAAGAATAATTGAATATTTAAGCATCAACAATTACCCATATATTTTAAAAGTAGCGACATCTGAGCGGACTCACTTGTCATAACTGGCGTATGCAGAACCTTATTACCTACAGGAAGAGCACAAGATTTAGGATTTAGGTCCAGTGTATTAAAGCAATCGATTTCGCACTTTCTCCGATGAAATTGGTGAATGAATATAGATTGCGCTCTATCAACTTAACCAAAAAGGGAGTATGATAGGATAACTACAAAATCTATTTCCTCATCTACATCAAAGCAATGTGTTTCCAGTTTTCTCGATGAAATTAGTGAATGCTCTTAATCTTCACTTGAACTTAATAACTATAATAATCAAGATAAGACGGAGATGGGGACAGATAGAACACAAAATTTAACGCATGTGTATCCAAACAATGTGTTTGGAAGATTCCTCGATGAAATTTGTGAATGAATAAAGATTTTGCTTTACCAACCAAAAAGGGAATATGATAGGAAAACGAAAAATGTCAAATTTGATTAAGTAGTTGAAATTGCAAAAAAAATCGTGCTGTAATTCTTGGCCGAACAATGGAAGTGATCAAAATTTCACGAAATTTGTGTTCTTTAGGTATTTAAGAACAATATTACTTTTTCAACACAACCCCTGAAACGAAAGTTATGCGCATCAGAGCACTGTTAGTTCAGGTAAGGTAGGAAATTCGGAAGAGCGTAAGTGCAAACCCTGGTGCAAACTATACGTAAGTAATTTGAAAATTAAATTCTGATTTCCGCGATAAAATTAATCAGCCCACTGCGATTTTTGAAAATAGTTATCCAGATTATGCCCCCTTATCTTTTTTAAAGGTAGTTTTAGTGGTTTTGAGAATAATCGATTCATCCAAATATTAATTTGTGAAATTTAATTTAAATTTTCCAAAATTGAATTGAAGTTTTTGCGTATAAGATTATTATTATTATTTATTATTATCCCTCTCTTGTTTTGGGCCCTCAACAGGCATGCGCCCAATTACAGAGTGACCCGCATAATGCTATTTAGAGGTGCCTCTGCAGAAGGTCTTAAGTTGGTCTATACTACTCCGGTATTTACCTTACGAATTAGGAAAACTGCAGGAAAACCTAATTCGGAGTAGCCGGTAGAATGCTCGGAACTGGTCTACGGTAATTTCCATCTCCCCCACAGATGAAAAATTCACCTCAACCCAGGTTCGAACACCCGACCTCCGGATTTATAACCCAATGCTCTACCACTGAGCCATAAATCCGATGCTAGAATTTATATTATGTAGTCATTTGTTCTTGTTTTCCCAGATGCAATCACAACTCTGGAAAGAGGGCCTTCGGGCGTTGCAACTGTAACCCACAGTAAAGTCTAACGGCTTTAGATCTATTTTTCAGTCAACGATCTGGAGACCCCGGCTGGCGGCGGCCATGCTACTGAACCACCCTTTCCAATCCATCTATTAGCCGAGGTATTACGACACCTCGTACGACACGGAGAGGAGCAGCAACTTTGCCTCTATATGACTATCCAAGTAAGTAAGTACTGTTCTGTAAACTACATCAGGCGGACGTTTTGTTTGATATATAAATGCTCACAGTAATGTTGGGTCGCCCTGTATATGACACATTTCAATTAGTCTTTAAGCGTAAATGTGGTTGTTTATTTGATATTAAACGCAATGCCGATAATTTCATTTGAATTTGGGATCAATTTTATTTTGTTCCGGAAATATTTAATGTTGTTAATTTTGTTTAAATAATTGCCTTGCATTTTGTTTATTTAAACGTGAAGTTATTACATGTTAAAAGTTTATTCTTTTGTAAAAACGTTTTCCCCAGACGTTGGGATAAGAAATTCGTTAGCGGCCCGAATTATTTAAATTTCAAGATAAGCACGTGTTATCACTGTAGATAAACACAGGTGTTTAGTAATCGAAGACAACGCAGTAACCTGTTAAGGACGAAGGAAGGAAAGAAAACTGAAAGAGAAGAATGTTGTAAATAGACGAAGCAGAAGGGAAACGAAGTCTTTTTTGGTGGTGAACGTTAATCGTTTTTTTTTTGTTTGAAGAAGGTTTTTGGTGTTCAACAGTTCAGCCATATTTGCGCGAGACAGTCAGTCTTGCCAGTTATACAGTTTTGTAGATGAAAGTTAGAGAGTCTTAAAGAAGATGTTATGAAACCGTCCATGTAAAAGTGAATGTTCGAGTTAGGCCAAGCGTTGGTGTTGTTACGTTTACTAAAAGTTAGTCGGAGTGTTGTGTTTATCAAGCGTTTTTCGCTTATGTGAACCTTTCTGTATGGTTTGTCAGCACCCATTAAAGGGAGTTTTTTCCACCACCAAAGAAGCAGTTTTACATCAGTCATTACATCGAACCTAATGTCGTCTAAATCAAGGTTCAAATGCAATTAAAGTAAGGAGTGTCATCAAAGAGTAACAAAAATCACTCCAACCCCATTTAGAGGAACGATGGATCATGTTCAAAAATAAAGAAGTATCATTACAGAAGCATCATCAATTTGATGTTTGTGTGTTCGTGTATCAAAATTTTTAAGGTTTCTAAAAATTGTCAAAAATTTATATATAATTCAAAAGGTTTCTAAAGCAATGATATTTATGTACCTACTTATTTTATGTTATATTCAAAAAAAAAACCTAAAACTTTCCATAAAATGTAGCCGCCTATTGAAATACCTACCCACATTTGCGTGCCTGAAATGTTTATTAAATGCATCTCAATTATGTATTAACTTCAAACTTTTGCGATCAATCTTTCGTAAAACGTATAAAAGGCTGAACGATCACAATTTTAGCTACAGAAATGGAGATGTCAAGCAAGACAACGCCGGCGTACTTCGATAAGTTAAAACAAATTTCCCAATTAAATGGATTTGTACTGCGGAGTAAGATGCGAAATGGTGAAAAATGTGTCCAATTTGTTTACCTGTTTGCTATGTATCTATACGCTGTACTATTTTTTTACCGAAGCTGGAATTTCGACAGTGATGAAATAGATGACTTTATATACGGCGCTGTGATAGCCAATAGTAGGTATACGTATAGTAACAACACGAACTTTTTACTTACCACACATTGTACTTAGTGATACCGCGAAGTACAATATTAAGGATACACAGGTCCAAACTGGCAGATTTGTTGAAGTCATTGGAAAATGCGAACAATTATAAAATCAAAAGGGTGTTTGAGTTACGCAAGGAACTAGAACGTGCGTTATCCACAGCGGTAAGTTTCGGCTCTTAAACTTATAATGGGTCGTCGTAAATTACAAATAACATTTTAAGAGTTCAATATTCATACCAATGGGAATTGGATCTTTCTTGGTTACTGTCATTATATGGTTCTTGACAAAGAAGCCTGGAAGCCTCCCTTTCGGTTCAATGCCTTCCTGGGCCCTAAATTACAGTTTTTCCATGTGCCTAATAATTCAACTAATTTTGTTCGCATGCATGGGCCTAGATTATGTCTTAACCGATACTATAAAGTTGTGCCTAATGCTACAACTGCAAATACATTTTAAATACTTACGAGTGAGTATTAATGAGGTGATGGATGATGCAAAAGAGGATTTTTGCTGCGAGAAAAACATAGATCCAGCCTTAGTTGACCAACACAGTGTCCCATGGTTATATCAACATGGGCAAATGAAGAAAATCATTTCGCATTACCAGTACGTTATTAAAATTGCGAATGAAGCGGAGACAATATTCAACAAGTCTGTACTGGCCAGCTTCGTGAATTTGTCATTTCTAATTTGTGCCGAGTTACTTCGCCTGACAAGTGTAAGTCGACTGACAAATAAAAAATAAAAATGCTCATTTAGTGTGAATGTATTGTATAGGTCCCAACGTTTAGTCTACAATTCTGGAAGATGTGTGTCTATGTGCTTGCAGCGTGCACGTATTTCTTCGGGGATTGCTTTTTTACACAACGCGTAATTACAGAAAATGAATATCTTGTTGATTCCTGTTATGACGTTGATTTTGTTGGCAGCAATTTACCATTTCAAAAATGTTTGCTTCTCTTTATGGCACGGACACAAAAGTCGGTAGTATTCACAATCGGAAAGTTTGCCCCAGTTACGATGGTTACCATGATTACCGTAAGTGAAAATCAAAATTCTTTCTGTTTTTAAGATTGTTCTTTTTAGATCCTAAAGGCGTCGTTCTCGTACTTTACACTGCTTCAAAAAAGACAAAATCGTGCAAGCACCTAATCACCACCCCCAAGTGGAGCTGCAGATTTGAGGATGTTAAATTTCAATTTGACAACTGCACAAAAAAAATATCTACTATGTACACTTTCACATAAACACAAAACAGCAGTAGTACCTATGGTCAATGATCCTGGCCAGATATTTTGCAGATGTGGGCAACGAGAAAGCAAAAAGCGGTGTAGATTTGGGGTTTGAACGATTATGATTTGATGAGTACGTGTTTGAAACGGTTTTGACTTATTAAGGATCCTCAGATCCTTTATAGTTTTGTATTGTCGTCCGTCCGTCCGTCCGTCCGTCCGTCCGTCCGTGTGCGCTCTAACTCTTTTTAAAAGTGGCCGATTGTGTTGAAATTTGGTATACGGGTACGTTGGACATTAAGAACGGACGCTATTGATTTTCAGGAAGCTGGTTCAACAGGAACAAAAGTTATACAACTTCGAGTGAATCGGGAACAGGAAAAACTGCGAACTCAATATAATAAAAATTAACATATTTCATTCCCTAGGTCATGTATCGAGTTCGGATTTTCGCTAGATTATTCCCTATGACTCTTAGATGTGTAACAATTCAATATAACTCTTCTCTGTGGTCTCGGTCAAAAATTTTAGAGCAAAATGTACCCAGAATTATTCTTTACACATGAATTTAGAGTTGTAAAAGCTTTCAAACGCATTATCTTGATGCTGAAAGAGTTGATAACGTGCACGTTTGATAACCGCATGTGTGTGATTCAAAAATGTTAAATTATTTTTCTGAAGCCACATGGATTTTGATCAAAATATGTCAAAATCGTTAATTATGCACCAAGATCGTTGGGAAAAAGACTACGCGCATTATCTCAATGCCCAAGACATGAATTTGATGCATTTTTTGCGACCACGTGGATTTTGATCAAAACATGTCAAAATCGTTATTTATGCACCAAGATCGTTGGGAAAAGACTAGGCGCATTATCTCAATGCCCAAGACATGACTTTGATTCATTTTTGGCGACCACGTGGATTTTGATCAAAACATGTCAAAATCGTTATTTATGCACCAAGAGCGTTGGGAAAAAGACTAAGCGCATTATCTCAATGCCGAAGACATGAATTTGATGCATTTTTGGCGACCACGTGGATTTTGATCAAAACATGTCAAAATCGTTATTTATGCACCAAGAGGGTTGGGAAAAAGACTAAGCGCATTATCTCAATGCCCAAGACATGAATTTGATGCATTTTTGGCGACCACGTGGATTTTGATCAAAACATGTCAAAATCGTTATTTATGCACCAAGATCATTGGGAAAAAGACTAGGCGCATTATCTCAACGCCCAAGACATGAATTTGATGAATTTTTGGCGAAAACGTGGATTTTGATCAAAACATGTCAAAATCGTTATTTATGCACCAAGATCGTTGGGAAAAAGATTAAGAGCATTATCTCAATGATCTAAACATGAATTTGATCTATTTTTATGGACCACATGGATTTTGATCAAAACATGTCAAAATCGTTATTTATGCACCAAGATCGTTTGGAAAAAAACCAAGAGCATTATCTCAAAGCCCAAGACATGAATTTGATGCATTTTTGTTAACTATAAAATGTATTTTGTAAGATTAAAATAAATTGTCGTTAAAAGTGATTGTAATACTGAGGATCCTTCGATATTTCGTTGTATCGGTTTATTCTTATTGTAGGTACCTGTTGGCCGATGCCGACTTGTATTTCTCACGTCAATTGTGGACGAGTTGTAATTGCCCTTGTACTAGCAACAATGTAGTACTAATTATATAACAACAACGGTCAAGCCAACAATGTGTACCACGTTGGGGCCCAGATTGCACCAACGCCACTTTATAGTACTTTTAATTTGCTCCAACTTCACAGGTGTGTTAGTGAAGTCGTGTATTTTACCCTTAGTCAATAAATAAATTGAAATAAGTAGTCTTTTTCATTTTTACAAAAAAATTTTCAAAAGAAGACGAGGCAGTAGTGTTAAAGATCTCAAAGAAAGATATTATACATTACATTTTTTTAGCAACTTCAACCCCTGCATCGTTTCTCAATCTAATTAGTGTATAAAGGCGCGTACAGACATGCAACAAAACATCGTAACGTAAGACCGGTGCGTAACAAATTTGGACGCAACTTTGCAACAGCGTAACGGTGTAACATCGTAACATTTCGGCGTCCCATCCGTTGTCGGTATTTCATCGTCGCATCAAAGGGATGTTACGCGTTCATGTTGCACGTGGTATATGCATGTTTGTACCACTTTGCGAACGTTTCCTATTTAACTTGTCAATTCACTTTAGGGCGTACTGCAGTTGAACATGGAGTGGACGGAGAATACTGTGCTAAACTTTATTGAAGTGTAGGTACAGAAAAAAAGAGATTTTGTGGGATACTAAACACCCCTTTTATTATAATCAAATTTTAAAAAAACGACGCATAGGTAGAAATTGCGCAAGAGGTCAAAATCACGACTAAATAGTGCATTACAATACAAGCTGCAGCAGCAACGTCCATTCTAACAAGAAAATTAAGAAACTGATGGGATGGCAATATGTTTCGCGTCAATGTTACAGAGCGGTGTTCTGTTGCACCTCACAATCCAATCACACCGTAACTTCGTCCTGCAACCAAAAATGTTGCAGAGCGGAGTTACGGTACGATGTTCTGTTGCATCTCTGTACGCGCCTTAAGAACGGTAAGAGGTATTTATTAAGGCGCGTACAGACATGCAACAGAACATCGTAACGTAACACCGGTGCGTAACAAGTTTGGAGGCAACTTTGCAACAGCGTAACGGTGTAACATCGTAACATTTCGGCGTCCCATCCGTTGTCGGTATTTAGTCGTCGCATCAAAGGGATGTTACGCATTGATGTTGCACGTGGTATATGCATGTTTGTACCATTTTGCGAACTTTTCCCATTTGAATTGTGGATTCACCTTAAGGCGCGTACAGACATGCAACAAAACATCGTAACGTAACACCGGTGCGTAACAAATTTGGGCGCAACTTTGCAACAGCGTAACGGTGTAACATCGTAACTTTTTGGCGTCCCATCCGTTGTCGGTATTTCATCGTCGCATCAAAGGGATGTTACGCGTTCATGTTGCACGTGGTATATGCATGTTTGTACCACTTTGCAAACGTTTCCTATATTTAAATTGTCAATTCACTTTTGGGCGTACTGCAGTTGAACATGGAGTGGACGGAGAATGCTGTGCTAAACTTTATTGAAGTGTACAGAAAAAAAGAGATTTTGTGGGATACTAAACACCCCTTTTATTATAATAAAATTTAAAAAAAACGACGCATGGGTAGAAATTGCGCAAGAGGTCAAAATCACGCACTTAATAGTGATTACAATACAAGCTGCAGCAGCAATTAAGAAACTGATGGGACGGTAATATGTTTCGCGCCAATGTCACAGAGCGGTGTTCTGTTGCATCTCGCAATCCAATCACACCGTAACTTCGTTCTGCAACCAAAAATGTTGCAGAGCGGAGTTACGTTACGATGTTCTGTTGCATGTCTGTACGCGCCTTTAGTGCGTACTGCAATTTATTGAATATGGAGTGGACGAAAGACGCTGTGCTAAGTGAAGTGTACAGAAAAAAAAAGATTTTGTTAGATAATAAGCACTCCTTTTATTATAATAAAATTTAAAATACGAGGCGTGGGTAGAAATTGCCCCAAACAAAAAAAATTAGAAACTGATGGGACGGTAATATGTTACGTGCCAGTGTTACAGAGCGATGTGTTGTTGCACCTCGCAATCCAATGACACCGTAACGTCGTGCTGCAACGAAAAATGTTGCAGAGCGAAGTTACGTTACGACGTTCTGTTGCATGTCTGTACGCGCGTTTTACAGTTTCATACGGCTAGGAAGAAGAGTATAGTCGTTACTGGGAACCAAAACAAGGATGGCCGATGATTTCCTATTCGAATTTGGCACTGAGATCCATCGTGGTGTAGGGTACGTGAGGGGGGGTTTTGTCATGGTGCAAATGAACTCCCTCTGTTAACCAGCGCTTTGCTTTGTTCCGTAAAGCTCGACGTGCATTTGTTAAGGTCTTGCCGCGTCGATTGTTGTACCTGATAGTCGATCAGCAGAAAGCATTTCCTGTCCCAGAATACCAAAGCCATCCTTCCTCGTTGACGGTGTTTGCTTGAATTTTTTACCACTTGGAGAACTGGAATGCCGCCATGTTGTTTGTTCCTTGGCGTGAAGTCGTCCTTTACAAATGAATCTAAAAATTCCTCGCAGAAACTCACGAGCACTTTCATTGAAAATAGAAACAAGTATACATTGTGCACAATACTCTCGTGAAAATATAGCGCATTTTTTTAAACCGAAATAGCTTAGTAAATGTTTGGGTTATAAAATAGTATCATGATGATATGTGTCGCCCAGTCGATTCATTTTACCTTTGAGAGTACTTTCCTCCGACACTTCGAGATATTAGCTCTGAAAGTTTTGACATCACCAATGGAAAAAGAGTCGCGCGGGAAAGTTATAGTTTGTACGAACCAATTTATTTCGATTATTTCGACACTCCATTAGAAGAAAGTTATATGCACGTTTCACTTTCAAAAACAGCGCATCTCAGGAAATAATTCCCCTTCAGACAGCGAAATTTGATGGCCGTCTGGTATAGGATAACTATTGCAAACAGGACTCTAGCACCATTCTCCTAGAAGTTCAAAACGGCAGAAGTGGGCCCGGACGGACGGAAAAACGCAATTTTCCACTTGCTTTTTATTAACGATCCTCGAAATCGTTTGCTGTCTGTCTGCCTGTCCGTCTGTCGCCCCTGTCTGTGCGCCTGTTTGTCCGTCTGTCTGTATGCCCAAGTGTAATTATAGCTTTTAAAAAATAATTCCAGTGTTTTTTGTGTACCCTTTTGTACCTATAATATACAGGGTGTTTTTTTGGGAGCTTTAGTTAAACGTTTCTGGGAAAGTAAAATAGGTAGGTTTTTGAAAAGTTGAACTTAGGAGTTACTCTGAAGGCCGAATCGTTGTAAAATATTTTCAAAATGGCCGCACTTCCGGAAACACCGGAAGTAGATAGTAACTTCGTTATTTTAAATGCCAACCCGCATTTTTTATTGCATTTTTGGATTCTACGTGAAATTTCAATCCTTTTGATACCCATATGTCGATATCTGCGATTTATGGTTTTTAAGTTATTTTGACTTTAAGAAAAAAAATTGCGGATG